TTTTTTTTTTTTTACATTATAAAGTTGTCTTTTTATTTTCCTTTATGGTATAGAACCTTCCATAGGATATTATCCCATCCAAATCATGACACAAACAACACATAATGGGCTAAGGAGGCAAATTAATGAAAAAATTTGTGCCCACAAGCCATGTTACTTTACTTACCCAAATTTTTTTTTTTTAAAGTCCAATCAACAAACAATTATGTAATTATTTGGGCATGTAAGCGTATGATTTAAATGCAATATTTTTTTTTTCGATAGCCAGTTACGATATCTGGAGCATTGCCAAAAGGAATCGAATCTGAGACCTTGATTAAGCGACATAAATATGTTTACCACTTGAGCCAAATACACGTACACACACAAACATGCGCGAAATGAGTTTGTGCGTTTTAATTTCATTTTATTTATGTATTATTATTATTGTTTATTTTATTTTTATTTTTAATTTTTAATTTTTAATTTTTCTCCAAATTCCAAAGTGCTCCTAACATGAAATCATGACGCATGCACTCAAAGCACACACTCCCCATGAGAGCCGAAAATCCAATTAATTAATTAAAATAAAATAAAATAGAAGGGTAAAAATGACCTTTTTGGTCTCCTCCATGAGGAGAACCCGGCCGGCCCAGGCGTCCATGTTGAGCCGGACGAGGCGGTCGATGTCCCCCAGCAGGTGGCTGCGGATGATGGCGGAGCCGGCGAAGCTGGTGGTCAGGGAGTGCATCCGGCGGTGGAGTCCGCCGCGCATGAGGAGGAGCGAGTGGCGGCCGAGGAGGTTGCAGATGGAGCCGGGGTAGCTTGACTCGAAGAGCCGGCCCTCGCTGTGGAGGATGAGCCGGTTCGCGTCCGGGTCCGCGGAGAATACGGTCGGCTCGCCGAAGACGTGGGTGGTGAAGAGCGGTCCGAATCGGGCGACCCGGTCGTCGATGAAGGGCTCCGGGTTGGATGTCTTGTAGGCGGAGATTAGCTGGAGGGTCTCCCCGATGAGGGGCGGCCCGAGGTTTCCCGGCGGGAGGAGACGACGGCGCCGGCGGACGGCGGCGGAGCGGAGGAGGAGGAGAAGGGGGATGAGGAAGAAGAAGTAGAGAAGCATGACTTTTTTTAATTATTTTAATTATTTTTTATTTTATAAAAAAAAAAGAAAAAATTGTAACAGGAGTGATGTTGAAATTGATGAGAGTGTGTGTGTGTGTGTGTGTGTTTGTTTTGGAGAGGTGGGGTGGGGGCATTAATGGGGGCGCACGGGTGGGTATGAAGTGAAAGTACCTGTCAATAGAGGAAAATGAAGGCTTGGGATGCCAACGAAATTAATGTCGGGGGAACAATTTTTTTATCTTTTTTTTTTTTTTTTACCTTTTTATTATTTTTACTTTTTTTCCTGTTTTTAGTTGAGTCATGCTAAAGTAACATAAGATATAGATATAAAATTTGACATAATAACATCACGATTCTATTATTCTAAGGTTTACACATTACATTACTTTTAATATCAACATTTATTATTTTAATATGTGAAATAATTGTGTCCGAAGTAGCTTTATTTCTTGATTTACCGAATGGTGGATTGGTATCAGACTTGCCACAATTCTCAATTTATATATATGCTGAGGGTGCAGGGTTTGAGTTTGAGCAAAAACAACTGAATGCCCCAAAATAGGTCTTTCGTAGGACATGAGCATTGTAGAAGACCGTGAGTCCCCGAGTCCCATGAAGATCCACTGGGGGCCGACACCTCGGTATGGCGAGAACCTACTGGGGGAAAAGGCTTACGATAGTTATTGTTAATTAACAAGGTTATTTGTAAAAATTGTCTGAATTAGAGGTATGTGTCAGTGTGCATGGTTGAATACTTTGTTAGCCTTACATGTTCCCCGACAAAGCGCCCGATAGCTATCTTGGCAGTAATCATTCGGAACAACTGGATTCCATTTAATGGGGTATGTCGAGTATTTGTTCGGTTCTTTGTTCGACGAGACTCATGTTGTCTTCTTGTCATCATTTATGGAAAGACAACTAGAGTCAACTCAAGTTGTTCAAGTCGATTGCGTGGTGTCCACACTCTGTTCAGATGTTTGGTCTCCTGAGTCAAACCGAGTCGAACAAGGTGAGATGATAGTTTAATTTGGTTTCCAACTAGGATAGTTCGAGACAATAACATATGGTGAATACGTGTCGTTTTAGGTTCGATTGTCATGGTGTACACTCGGTGTAGTTAACAATCATATATTTTGAATTAATATGCTTCGTAATTTAATTGTAAATTTATATTGTTTGTATTACTATGTGATAGAGATGTTAAACGGTCTTGGCCCGACGGGCCGACCCGTTTATTATTTGACACATCACTTTAGTTCTAAAATCAACAACTAAAACAACACCAGCCGAAGTAGTGCTAACGGTTTGATTCAGGATGAGTTGGGTTGTTGGGTTGCGGGCTTCCTCATGAATGTTGGTTACACCACCATAACGGGAGTTGAGCTTTGGGAACTTTTCCAATGGGAACTTTTCCAAGGTCTACAATTGGCTTGCGAGTTGGGCCTCCGCCAAATTATAGCCGGGGTTGATAGCCAGTGCGTTGTGAGAATGGTGCTTGCGCTCGGAGATAGTTTTGGCGCTAATGATGCTTTACCCAGGGCTATTCGCAGTTTGTTGCATAAAGATTGGCGAGTGAGCATTCAATATGTGCATAAGGAAGCTAACTATGCGGCCAACTTTATAGCGAGCTTAGCGTTTTCCTCTACGTTGGGGGCTACAACGTATAACTTCTCCTCCTTTTAATTTGGGTGCATGAATTGCTCATGATCTCATCAGAGTGTTGTGTCTCGGACGATTCCTAGACTCATCACTTTCTTAGGCCTTGGCCTTCTTATTTCCTACCCAAAAAAAACATACACATAATTCTTTTATGCCAAATTAATATATGTCAATTATTTTTATAGACTCTTCTTATTATAATTGTATAACGGTCTTTCAAGTAATAGTAGGCCGTGGGCGGTCTCATCGTTGGCCCTATAATTATATATATCTCGGGATTGGCCCATAGTTTCTTTAGCTATATATTTATTACTTGTTAAATATGTATTTTTAATTTGTTGGCATCATTGTAAGCTCACTTTGTATATGTAATGTAATATAATAATGTTACTTTTTTGCTTGAGATCATCACTTTGATGTAGCCAGCTCAATCACTTAGGATGAGATTGAGAAAATCAATATATTTTAATATAATATTATATATATTCAAAATAATGTATCAAAATAATATACTCTAAGATGTCGCTTTGTATCCGTTGGTTCGGTTAGATGTCGCTTCTTTGAAAGAGCTCGTTTTGTTTTGTTGCCTTTTTTTTCTGTTTCGTTTGGTAGTTTCGTTTTTTATTTGTTAGGTTGTGTTGTAATTGTGTTTTTAGTCTGGGCCATTTGACTCATGTGCGCCTGAGTGTCAAATTTATTATCCTATTGGGATCCGACAATCAGGTATTCTCCTGTTGGGAGTCTTTTAGGTTTTAGTTTCCAGTTTGTGTTGGTGTAGTTGGTTGTTTTAGTTGGGTTTTTTGTTATTCTAGCGTTGTTAGGTTAGGATTTAGGCGATCTATGAATCTGCCTCCCAGTTTTATCAGTCGGTTGTACTATTCAACCTTTGGCTGCTTCTCTTCGCACATTGTGCGGTTTTATTAATATAGTACCTCTATCGTTTTGTGAAAAAAATTATTCATTTTAAACCTTAATTAGAACTTTAATTGGAAATTAAATAATGTTATGTAACTAGAAACAATGACATATATCATCTTAATTAATAATGATTATGATACATCCGTTATATATAGTGATCTTCCTCAATATATACTAACAATTTCACACATAATATCTCCTTATTTTAGACGTTATATTGTCATTATAAATTATTTATTGCAAATTTTATATATACCAAACTTAATTATCAGAGTTGACCAAAGTAAACAAATTCCATATCGACCTATTGCTATAGAACGTAATAATAGTAATTCATCAATACAAATTATTTTCTCATTTGCTTTTTTTTTTTTTCCGGGTTAACTTAGAGATGGCCCCGGGCCAACCCGGCCCGGATACGGCGATTTATGAACTGGACTCTTAGCCTTAAAGGGCCGGTTCAAAGTCGATTTTTTTCGCCTTTTTGACCCGTTGGGCCGGGCCGGGTCTTTCGACGAGACATGTCGGTTCATTTGACCCAGTCGTTAGGTATAGCCGGACCGATTTTGGGTTCAACATTTGAAGCCCGCCAGGCCGGGTCAGGTCGTGAACAGGCCCGACCGTTGAGCACGTCGAGGTTAACCAACTTGTACAAGGCTGGCAATAAGTAGGTCTCACGTATGGGTTACTCGTAACAAAAGCTTTAATTAATTACCATATTAATTAGTACTACATCATATTTTTAATATATGTCGTTTTGAGAAGTTACACATTAATTAAAAATATTTTTTTTTGTCAATAATAACCTTATTTAATGAAGATAGAGATGAATGTTTTGAGAAAAATGAAGAGTGAATATGAAAAGACGTAATGTATTTATTGGCTAAATGAGGGTAATAATGGAAAAATATGAACAAAAGATCCAAAATGACATTTATTTAGCAAATAGTTGATAAAGCTAGAATGACATTTAAAAAAAATAGGAGAGAGTACATTTTAAAAGAATTAAAGCAATTATCCACCAACTGGAAAGTTATGTTTTGTCCAAATCCCCAATGGTAATAGCTATTGCTAGCTATATGGTTAGCTGACGTGGATGTGAGAGATAAGAAAAATAATTATTTTACACTATTGGAACCATGTACTCCTCTCACATGATATTGGGCTACGTGAAATAGATAAACTATTTGTTAGTAGCTAGTGACTACTCTCTCTCTTACTTTTCACATGTCCACGTCATAATAGTTAGCCAAATAGCTAACCATTGGAGAAGCCCTTAGTCCAAATCTCTGTCTCTCGAGTCTCAAATCAAATACTACCTCATATTCTTTTTAAATGTCATTTTGACATTATCAACTATTAACAAAATAAATGTCCTTTTAGATATTTTGTACATATCTTTCAATTATTACCCTCATCTAGCTAATAAATACACTACGTCTTTTCATATTCACTATTCATCTTTTCTCAAACCATTCGTCTATATCCTCATTAATGAGGGTTATTATTAGCAAAAAAAAATATTCTTAATAACTATGCAACTTCTAAAATGACATTTATTATGAATATGAGTGAATATATATATATATATATATATATATATATATATATATATATATATATTCATATTTTTCTTACAACTTTATTAATAGTATTATTTGTTTAATTACTATTTATTTCAAGACTGGATCATGACCACATTCTTCCCCTCAATAAACAAAAGGTAGTTGAGCTAATTAATTAGGATCCATTTAGGATATCAAAGAATGTTCTCAACTGATTGGCTTAGGTGAAATCTAATTAATGTGCAATTAATTAATGTTCCATTCTCATGATTATGAAATATGGTTAGATAGTTATAACATTCAATAAGTGTATCTATTTTATATATAAATATCACTTTAAATACAATATATGAATAAAAATATGATATATTATTATATAATGCATAAATTTTGTATATTTTATAAGAAAATATATATATATATATATATATATATGGGTTTGTTCAAATAAAAA